AAGAATTGGTTTCAAATCTCTACTTACAGAAAATAACTTATGGTAAAACCCTAATTTATTTTCTCTGTGCTTTCTGAATTGTACATGGTACTTATTCTGAAGGATTTTCGTCATCGAGTTCATTTTAAATTTTCTCTCTTTGTTCTTATTTTCGACTGGGGGGTCTCTTTTTCCTTCTTTGTATTTTCCTNTTTTCGACTGGGGGGTTTTCCTTCATTTTTTCTACTTACTTTTCACTTTGTCTTATTTAACAAAAAAAAAAACTAAAACTGTTTAATAACATTACTCAAATAAAGTCGAAAGACATTTAAGAAAATGAAAGATGAAAAGACATCAATTTTCATGATATTTCGTTTTCCCAGAACTATTCATTTTCTTGAACTATACCTTTTTATAACCAACCATATGCCATAGTATATCTACTGGTTGAAGGCTTGTATTTGATTCATTAGATGTAAGAAAACTAAAGGCAGAAGTGAAGTTTCTATTATGCACTCTTCCTGAAACTCCGAGAACTACTGCTCACTGAATTAAAGTTGCACATCTGATCAAATGGCATGAGGTATGTATTGAACTTCACACCCCTTGGTTGTCAAGCTATCTAAACCAATTGCTATGTTGTTCACTCCAAAAGTTTTATGCAGGCTCGTAGTGAAAGAATTTGACTTGGTACTTTTCGTAGCGTCTATTCTTAAGAAGATATCAGTCTTTTCTGTTATTTAATGACTGCCCCATAATTACTTTTCTTCTGCTTTGTACTTCCTAAAGTAGCAAAGTACTACATTCTTTTGCTTTTTCACTACTTTAAGTAGGATTTTAATTGCTGCATTGTAATTACTCTTTCGGTATTATTGATGGAACGAGATAATCTATATGCCTATCCTATTTATACTCCATCAAGCATCAGTTATCAATATAAGTTGAACTCTTATTCTAAGGGCAGCATGTTTATTGAAATAGAAAAAGAAGGAAAAACGAAGAGGAAAGAGATAGAGAGTCAGAGAAAAAAAGTTGTACCAGGAAAGGTAAAATTTACACTTTTTTCACCTGCGGGAACTAATACGTGAACATCAGGTTAAAGATTGCAACATATTTACCCTGTTGCTAAGAAATGGATTTATGGGCAGTCACACATTTGGAGAAAATTATTGTGGACTAAGCATTACTATGAAGTGTGAACCATTGATTCTGTGGAAACTAGAACAAGGTAATCTTGAATAATCTTTCCTTTTGTGGGACAAATGGTCTGGCCTTGGACCTATATCAAAGCTGGTTACCCAGGTCAACACTTCTAGAAGAAACACACAAATAATCATAACGAACAATATAAGGGATGTTCAACTGTCATAATATAGATAAGTGCAAAAATATATCTGAAAATCAACATCAAAGTGCGAAAACACTACATCAACCCCAAGAACCGGTAGTGTAAGTCTTGAGCTACTAAATGGAATACATTTAAAACATAAAACAACTTGGAACATATAAAAAATATAACCCTATTTGGATTGCTCGCCAAAACTGGTTATTTTTACATTTAAAACAACTTGGAACATTCTCATGCAAACTCGTAATTCTACTTCTTGTGTTCACTAGACACACTTAGACAATAGTATGAGTGTTTGATAGGTCACAACAGTTTTTAGGTTTTGGACAGAGGACGATAGTTGCACCAAAGCGACGACGGGACTGAGACAAAGTCACGGATGCGGGATAAAGACTTAGACGAGAAATATGAGAGTATAATGACTTATTTAATGATTCCAGTGATGTTTCCCAATTTGGACTGCTCACCGAACTGCTTTTTTACATGTGAATCAGCTTGGAATATTCTCATGCAAACTCAGAATTCTGCACTCGCTTGTGTTAAAATATGGCACAATAGAATTTCCTTTAAAGCACCTTTTTTCATGTACAGGGTTACTTGAGCACAAGCTTTCCATCGAAGATATTCACAGAAAAATTGATGTGCATGGTCCATCTAGATGCTTCTGTTGTAATGAATACTCTGAAGAGACCTTCAATCGTTTATTTTGCATTGGTGAACTTGCAACTAAAGTCTATACTTATTTTTGCAAAAGTGCAGGTTTCACTTTTAATGCCTCATACTACTAAAAACATGTTCATGCATTTGTGGCAGTAACGCAAAAATTAAGCTGTAATCTTTCATTTTTCAATGCTTGCCTTCTGTCGTATGTTGGGAATTGGGAGATGCAATCATACAAATGCACCTAGAGATTTGATGCCATCAGAACATCTTTTTGAAGAGTCACTGAACAGTGCAATTATCTTCTGAAGCTCATGATCAATGCTCAGTTTCCTACATTCTCTTCCTCTGCCACATGATTGGAGCTTTGTGATTTTGCTGACAGAGAGAAGCACCAGCTGAATACCACTGTTAAATGCGAAAATAGTATTGGGTCATCTTCCAATTCAACCTGTAACTCATATAAGATGTCTGCTTTCGGCTTTATTTTTAGTAAAAGTGCTGTTAAGCTCATGTCGCTCTTGCTCTGCTATGGATCCTCCGGATGCCAATCAATAAATTACTTCATTAAAAGAAAATCTTAGATAGATGTTGGTTAACTGGATTAAATGATCTTTACTCTACTTTGGTATGTGACTCCTTTTTTACTGTGATTCCAACCTGAACCCCCACCATTACTTGGTAGTTTATAATAAAAAATGCAATACTTTATGTTGCAGTTATAATAATCAACATCCATGTATTGGTTCATGTAGCTTTATTACCGCCTAAAAAAGGGATGATTGGATTGGGAAGAGTAGAGTTTGTAGGATGTGTAACTGAAAGGAAAAAATAGTTGATTAGTTTAGGCATGTTATATTGGATTAGAACTCTATCATTTAAAATCTACTTAAATATGTGATGTCTTATATTATATATTTATTTTTATATTATAATTTTTTTTAATTCTTATCTATATTAATTAAATTTAAAAAAAGATCATGTTTGACCGCGCGAAGCGGGAACAAATTAACTAGTTTTAAATAATATGAGACCACCAAGGCCTCCCAAAAGATTTTGACAGAAGAAGATTCCAACAAACAAACCTTTGTATAAGCCGGTTATCATCTACGTAACCGCAAACTTGCTTTCTTCAAGAAGAGTGAAGCGAAGTCCCTCCTCGAAAGGAAAGAGGGACGAGCGGAACGGCTTCGGTATCGGTAAGCATTCCCCCGCAGGGCTAAGTTTGGGCTTTCCAGTCTCGTTCCCTTTAATTGCACGAGATAAGAAAAACGAGATATCAAGCGGGAAGGCAATAACGGTGAGGGAAAGGCAAGTAGTTAGAAGCAGGAAGCATAGGAAAGAGCAGGAAGGTGAGGTATTGTCTCTGAAATTTGCCATCTCTTCGGGCTGCAAAAAAAAAAGGTCATCAAAGTCCAAATCAAGAATATTAGAATAGGCACAAAGGTCTAAATGAATGAAATGGCCTCCGATAGTTGGGCCACATTGAGAGTAATCTCTCCGATAGTCGGGTCATTTTGAGAGTAATCTCTCCGATAGTCGAGGCACATTGAATGTAATCTCTCTGATAGTCGGGGCACATTGAGAGTAATCTCTCTGATAGTCGGGGCACATTGAGAGTAGTCTTTACGATAGTCAGGTCATTTTGAGAGTAATCTCTCCGATAGTTGGGTCATTTTGAGAGTAATCTCTCCGATAGTCGGGTCATTTTGAGAGTAATCTCTCCGATAGTCGAGCCACACTGAGAGTAATCTCTCTGATAGTCGAGCCACATTGAGAGTAATCTCTTCGATAGTCGGGTCATTTTAAGAGTAATATCTCCGATAGTCGGGGCACATTGAGAGTAATCTCTTCGATAGTCGGGTCATTTTAAGAGTAATATCTCCGATAGTCGGGGCACATTGAGAGTAATCTCTCTGATAGTCAGGTCATTTTGAGAGTAATCTCTCTGATAGTTGAGCCACATTGAGATTAATCTCTCCGATAGTTTGGTCATTTTGAGAGTAATCTCTTCGAGTATGGGATCCGTACCGGATATGGTCAAACAATTTTGGGTACTTTGACCACGACGGACGGAAAAATTTCGAGACGAGATACAATTTGATTCCCGAAATCAGAACCAAAACTAGGGTAAATTTGAAGAAAGTCGCGTACATTATCTAGTAAATCAATCATTTACTTATCTACAACTTGAGAATAAAAAAGAAATTCACACTTTACAAGCAATACGTAAGTATTCCACAAAATTTATCATAATTTAGAGATATTTTTATATTTTTTAAAATTATTTTAGCCGGATCCCCGCACATGTATCCGTGCTAGGATCCATATCCCCGAATCTTAGAATTTATATCTCGAAGGATCCGACCTCTAGATCCGAACTCGTGTCGGACACCCCTACCCGTGTCTGAGCAACTTAGGTCAGGCAACTTAATAACCAATACTTCATGTAAGTAATAATAAGCTATAATATTTTCATCTCCCAAGACCTCTTATATAAATTAAATAGTCAACAGCAGTTCATTCATGTCTACTACTTAGATGCGGTCAACTACCTGATGCCCTGCGTTGCCGATGTACAAAATGATGCATAGGCATCAATTAGGAAATAAACAAGACATTGAATTATGTAATTCAAATCCCATGAATTCTTTCACTACTACCTTGGAACAAATAGTGAATAGGACCTTGGACTACCATCTCATAATTGCATACTCAGAAGATCAGTTAGACCCAAAGGGAAAGACTACTAGTAAGCACGCCCACACATCTGTAAATTTTGACCCAAATTATGATACCTATTACGGGCACTATAAACCAAAAAAATATAATGGGATTTGTGATATGTAATGAAGGTAATACAATGTAACTCCTATGTCAATCAGCGAATGAACAAATGAATCAAATTTTAAGATCACCCATTTTATGCATCTAGAAACTAATACTACATCCCAATTTATGTGGTGGTGTTTGACTTACCGCGGTTAAAGAAATAAAGAAAAAATTTTGAAATTTGTGGTTTAAAACAAGCTATAGATATTTGTGTGGCTATAATTCATCTCATTAACGATAAAGTAGAAAGTTTAAAGTTAAATTGTTTCTACCTAAGGTAGTATGACATTTTTGTTAGGACAGACTAAAAAGGAAAATATGACATATAAATCAGGACAAGGGGAATATCACCGAGAATACACAAGATCTGATAGTACTTGTAACATAAAATAGGAGTCTAATGCATGTAGTAGAACTCTTAGGAGTAAGTTTGACATAAAACCATGTAAAGTCAAAACACATGCCAACTTCCAAAAGGTTGCCTTTGGAACTGAAATCACCCACATAAATGACATGGAAAGCAATTTTCTTACCCGAGTTACAATGACAAGTTTCTCAATAGCCTCATCATTAACATCCATCTAATCATCTTCCTCGTCAACTCTTCATAGAGCAAGACCACCGAGATGTTAAAATATTGAGAGTAATTTTTCTGATAGTCAGGTCATTTTGAGAGTAATTTCTTCAATAGTCGAGCTATATTGAGAGTAATCTCTCCGATAATTGGGTCATTTTGAGAGTAATCTCTCCGATAGTCGGGCAATCTCACCGATAGTCTGGTCATTTTGAGGTAATCTCTCTGATAGTCGAGTCACATTGAGATTAATCTCTCTGATAGTCGGGTCATCTTGAGAGTAATCTCTCCGATATTCGAACAAGGATGAGTACCCATCCCCTCACACCCCAAGATCGTCTTTTTCATGCATAGATTATCTCGTTAAACAAGAACACATCCTTCTTGTTTGACCTACAAAAAATCAAAAAGGATTACAAAGGAAGAAAAGCACAAGGAAAAAAAAATTACATTCGCGTTAATGCTTCGGATTCTACAAAATTAATCCCAAATGGCTTGCAAAATATGATACTCAACAAATACGAGCACGCGGGTTTATATAGATGGCAAAAGAGAACATTGAGAAGCCTATTTCTCGATGTGGGAACGAGTACTAGGCGGCAGCAGCAATTTGACTCCAACATGGAATTGGATGAATGTCAGACTTCGAAACAGATTCAAATAGGAATGATCAGCTTCAAGTCTGTACGAAACACATGGAATCTGATTTAATAAGGAACAACAAATTCAAGGGAATGTTTTTAATTCCTACGTGTACTATGATAAAGAAATTGAGTACTTTGACTTCAATAACAACTCTAAGAAGATTTTCCTTTTTGAAAAGTGCTATGAAGTTATCTTACACTTTAACGTGTAGTAACAAGAAAAAAAGGCATACATGTCATCACTATCTTAGATGAATCATATGTAGTATTCAATACTCCAATCCATGAAGATCATTATTTAATAAGCCAATGTCAAACATTTTCATGGCCGTGGGGACTAATCCTTAAGTTCCGAAAAGCCGGAGAAGTATTTTCTTACCATTAATTCATGTCTTGTCTTCAAAATTTTAAAGACGCTGACAAGTCTTGAAGTAGGGGCATTTGTAAGCGTTTAAATTTTATCGAATTTAAATCGATAAAATAACATGGACTATATTTTAATATGTTAGTCCAAATAAATATTTTAGGCTAGTATAATTGGATTAATTATATAAGTCCAATATAATTGGGCTACAAATGATGAGCCCACTTCATCAGGCCCAAGATATTATCTTCCTAGAAGCCCAATTTGGTGCCACGCGTGAAATGACATGGCACGCCAAGTCAAACGGAAGAGCCAATAGGATCGGGCTGCATGTCAAAATGACAAGGCATGCCAAGTCAAATTAAATGGCCAATGAAACTGTGCCACATGTGCAAGCCAATCAAATGCGGCCTTGTCGCTCTTCAATTTAATTGGTTGGAAAGAGTTTATTCTCATCATAACTTTTCCCTTCCACAACTATAAATAGGGGTCTTCATAACCCAGAAAAGATACCAGAAGTTATAAGAAGAAGCAAGAGAGAGCTCGTGGATCAAACGCCGCAAATTTCTCTACAAGTTTCAAGCTTCAAGCAATCAACTTCAAGTTCAAGAAATCAAGATCAAGTTCAAGAGCGAAGAACTTCAAGCTCAAGAAATCAAGTTCAAGCTCAAGAACGAAGAACAAGTCAAGATTCAACCGTCCTCCATACTTAAGGGCTTACCTGTGCCAAGCACACTTAGTAGCGAAGGAAAAATTTTGCAATCACGGGATCAATCTCTCCGCTCAAAGAAAATACACCCAAAGTAAAGGTAAATGTATATAAATATGTAAATCATTCCCTGTGAAGGGTCAGTCGCTCCGATAGCTCGCACAAGCCTCGCAATTGCAAAGTAGGCATGGGAGGTCAAATGTCGCAAATGCGACTTTCCACTTTGCATTTGTGAAGACAATAGAGGCCTGGGTTGGATCGCATTTGCGACCATTTGGTCACTTTTGCGAAGAAAGTCAGCTTTGCAATCGCGAATCTTTTTTCGCAATTGCGACATCTGAAGAGGCTGTCAGGGTTCGCAATTACGATCCCTGTTCAACAATTGCGAAG